TAAGTACCAGACTGTCTGAAACAATTATGTGCCTACACTGCTAAATTATCCAGAGGGAGCTTTCTATTTTTTCCTGTGAAAAACAGCAGTGCAGAGTTTGAAAACTTTCACAATGCCCCACAGCAAATGTTCACAATGCCCCGCAGCAAAATAGATTTGACCAAAAATGTGCCTGCAAAAGGTAATAGAACATGAAAAGAATGGAGGAGAGAAAACAGTAGGAGGGAAAGGAAAGTGAGAATGGAGAAAAGAGAGAAACAATGGTTACCTCTCAGTAGAGATAACACTAAAATGGAAGGTGAGGAAGAAATCCAATTGGGGATAGAACTGATAAGCGATATTAAGAACTTCTCCACTATTGTATGTGTCAGCTAGAAGAATGTTGTTTTGTTACAGATGGTTACTCAGGGCAAATGAGATTATCTTACTTCTGATATGTTGCTTTATTAGCCAAGGATTATAAGAGAGTTTCCAACAAAAATATTCCCTTGAAAGGTCTTGCCTGCCAAGTACTCCAGCAGTTGACAAGAGTGGCAGGCAAGCCAATCTGGACTTTCTTGAACTTGTCCCTCTCCTCTCTTGACCTCAAAGTGGCAAGATCTAGGTAGCAAAGGGAGAACAAGGGACCCTCCTACTTCTGTCATCTTGAAAGAGAATATTAGATCAAGAGTCCTTTCATAAAAGCTGCTCCCAAACAATGACTCCCAAGGGCTCCATCCTATGGATGAATCAAAATTTGGGAAAGAACGGATAGCAATATGAATTATTGACACTGGTCCTCAGTGTTAAGCTTCTTCTTTCTATCTGGCTTGCTGTGTAGTCCTGAAATAACAGGTTAAAACATGCATCAGTCAAGGATGGTCTCTTAGATCAAAAGGCGCACTGCCCCAGTACAGACTGCTTTTCCCTGGCTGATCCACACCTGCCTGCTTTCATACTAAAAGACCAGCACCAAGGGGGCTGTGTTCCCCTCCTGGTGTGTGTGTGTGTGTGTTGTGTGTGTGGTGTGTGTGTGTGTGTGTGTGTGTGTGTGTGTGTGTGTGTGTGTTTGTGTGTGTGTGGGTGTGTGTGTGTGTGAGAGAGAGAGAGAGAGAGAGAGAGAGAGAGAGAGAGAGAGAGAGAGAGAGAAGGAGAGAGAGAGAGAGAATATGTTTTTGTATGCGGCTGTTGGTGTATAAATACCAAAATAACTTTTGCCCACAGCTCTGCCTTCCTGGGTTGGGGCTTCTACCCCCATGAACACAAATGAGCATTAGCCACTACTGACGAACATCACTTTTTGAATTCATCACTTGGCAAGTCTCCACTTGGTCAAAACAGTACCAGTATGAGGGTATTTTCTTACTGCAATTCTATGGAATTTCCTAGTATCCTGTCATGAGACAAATTTGGCAACCATAACATTTGTCCTCAGCATAGAGTTAAGCAAGAATAAGGACATCCCTGAAAGCTGCTGCTTGGACATGCCTAATTCTTGGAGAATCAACTGGACTAGAACTCAGGAGACTTGGCTTCCAGCCCCCCACTTGGCTATAGAAATTCACTAGGGGATGGCAGGGGTAGAACACTCTTTGCCTCAGAAACTCTCTTACTGGTCACCATAAACTGAAACTGACTT